GCTGTGCATTGTGCTCTGCCTCATTTATTCCGGTTCACCACTCACTTGGCATTTGGCAAGCTAATTTACAATTGCTAACCCAGGCTGTTCAAGGAATTAACTGAAGCAAAAATATATTTTGCACCAGTTCTGATGCATGCACACACACACACACACACACACACACACACACACACACACACACACATTGTTACACTAATAGAAGGCTCAAGAAATGACTAGTCCTGACACAGTATGGCTTACAAAGGCAGTCATCTCACCATTCTCCTCAAAGATGAAACATTTCAAAAAAAAAAAAAAGCAAAGATCAGTGTTATAAAGTCTACATATGATGATCAGAATAGGAGAATAAAAATGATGTAAAAAATAAAAGCCATAAATAAATCACCTAACACTCTTTGGTTTGGAGATATGAAAACAATGAAGCTGTGAGCCAGTGCGGGTCCCCACAGGTCCGTGTGTGATCTGGTCCATGTTGCTGAAAGAGTGAATGGACTGTTTTTTTAGATAGGGTCTCCTTGTATCCCCAGCTGGCCTGGAACTTGCTATGTAGACCAGGCTGGCCTCGACCTCACAGATAGGAGCCTGTGTCTGTCTCCTGAGTGCTGCGATTAAAGGTGTGCACCACCACATCCAGCTTGCTTTAAATTTTTTTTTACTACACTTAATGTGGTTTATACATGAATGGGTATGTGCACACCATGGTGCACATCTGGAGGTCAGAAGACAAGTGTTGGGAGTCATTTCTCCTAGCATGTGAATCCAGGCAGTTGAGCTTAGGTTGTCAGGCCTGAGCCGTTTCACCAGCCTGCTATTTTGTCTGTAACATCTTTCACTCTGAAAATGATTTTATTCACTGTCTCTTTCCCTATTAGAATATGTTCTCTTTGAAGTTGGGTAGAAGGGACGAATTGAATTAAGAATATGTTCTCATTGAGGTCAGGGACTGATAATTATTTAACCTTTGAACCTACAGTAATTCTTTTTTACTTGTATGAGTGTATTGCCTGCATGTGCATAAGTGCACCCATGTTGCACAATGCCCTTGGAGTCAGAAGAAGGTCTCAGATCCCCTGGAACTAGAGTTACAGACGGTTGTTAGCTGCCATGTGGGTGTTGGGGACTGGACCGGGATCCTCTGCAAGAGCAGTTAGTGCTCTTAACCGCTGAGCCATCTCTCCAGGCTCCCTAAAATAGTTCTTAATGTTGAGTAGAAACTAGATATTTGTAGTATGAATGAATGAATGAAGGAAGAAATGAAATAAAGTTGAGAAAGAACTAAATGCATTACTTCATATATCTAAAACCACATTCTTGGCTGAAAAATAAAAGATATAAGATTAGAATCCATGTTTATGACCTAATTTTCATTCCTGATGTAAATTTTTAATATAACTTTATGATTTTGGTGTTATGTGTGTGTGGCGTGTGTGTGTGTGTGTGTGTGTGTGTGTGTGTGTGCTTTTTAGAGGCTGGAGGAGGACATTAAGCGTCCTGCTCTATCACTCTCTGTCTTTTCCTTTTAAGATGTGGTCTCTCACTGGACCTGGAGCTAGGCTGGAAGCCAGAAAGCCCCAGCAACTCTTTTGTCTACCCTCCACCCCCAAGCACTAGAGTTACACCACACAGCTTTTTACATTGGTGCTAGGGATTTGAACTCAGGTCCTTGTGCTTGCACAGTAAGTGACTTAACATTGGGCCATCTCTTCAGCCCTTCATCCTTGAGTTTAAGAGTTAAAGAGTTAAATTTCATAGACTGTTAGTAAGTGAATAGTGAAAATAAGACAAATATTAAAAGGATTTGGGTATTTGATTTGCTGTCAGGATCTGTGAAGGGGGCGTTATTTTATCTAGAAGAAAGAGATAAAAAATGA